CTGTGCAGTAACTTAGGCCTCATGCACACACAACACAAGAGCAAAATTGTATATTGCGTATATACGCGTATGTACGCATATGCGTGCACTATATGCAATCCCAGAATGCATAATTCGTAAAGAAATTTGAATGCACTGTACGCGAGCACGTGCGTATACGCGCGTATGCACGTGAAATATGCAGAAATACGCTGCCCGGACGCATCTTGGGTCCATTCTGTTTTTGCGCATTTTATGCTACGCAAATATAATGCTCCATACGCTGCTATGTGTATGGAGCCATTTATTTGCATATGCTGCATATGGGACAATACGCGCAAATACAAAAAAACTAAAGGACAAATGTGTGGATTTGGACACTTTCTAAAAACATGTAAACAGAGAATCTGGAGCAGTTTCCCATGGAAACCAATCAGCTTCTCACTTTAGTTTGCTCAGTTAAGCTTTGAAAATGAAAGACAGAAACTGACTGATTGCCATGGGCAACTGCTCAACATTCTGCCTGCCTCAGTTTTGATAAATCCCCCCTCGCTGACTTGGAAAAGTTTATAGATCAGGAAAGTTGGAGCCCAATTGAACTTTCAGTTTAAATCAGATACATGTAATCCAAGTGCATCTGTGTGGAAGCAGTGGTCTCTCTGCAGAGGTCTGACACCCCCCCTGGTGAGTCAGACCTAGAGCTCACCAATTAGAAGTGAGCAGGAGCTTTGCTAATCGCAGAGCTACAGGTCTGACTCAGAGGGAGGAGGGTGTTAGGAGTATGTCAGACCTTTGCAAAGAGACCATTGCTTGCACACCGAGAGCAAAGGTCCTTTTCTAGAACATGCTGGCAGAGGACAGGCTTTGCCTTGCTGTGGATGTTTTAAAATTCTACAACTTTGCACACCTTTTCTTTTGATGCACTTGGATTGCTGTTAGCTGTTTTTAACTGAAAGTTCAATAAGGATTTAAATACACACTGCAGGAAAGCTTTGACCCCCCTTCCCACCCCCTCTAACCCATCCTGTGGGGTTTTTATTTTTCTTTACCTTGTGAAGCATTTTTATACTCACCCATGATTCCCCCTTCATATACCTTGCTGGCTCCAGGAGACTGCTAATCCAGCACTGCAGATGGTCCCTAAATAGCAGCGACACCCCTAGCATCCCCTTTTGATGATGTCACTTCACTTCTGGATCCTGAGAGGACCCTGCCACAGGGAAAGTGTCCCTGTAATGTAGGCAGTGACGTGGATACTCAAAGAAGGACCCTGCAGGAAAAAACAATGGAAGAGGCATGAATCAGAACCTGAGCATCACGTCTCCACAGCTTTAGGTAACTTAAAAGGACATTTAGACAGGTTTTTTTTTTACTCCAGCAATCAGTTAGAGAGTGGTATTATCCTATAGATGGGCTTAAAAGTCCTTATCTTTATACTTGCCCTGGGTAAGGGAGAAGGTCGTCAGCATGACAGCCACGGAACTGGCATTTTCAGAAGGAGAGGTCAGGAATGAGAGCCGAACCCAGATTGGGCCACAAGGGGGCCCCAGTGTTGCAACTGCAACCACAATGTGGATGCAAACGCAACAGACCAGCTCTGTGAGTCAAGTCATCTGCTTGAATATAGTTTGATTATCTACATACAAAGCTCTCAATAATCGGATAGAATTTCTCTAGAGAAAGTAGTCAAGAAAATCTTATACACACAGCATCCTCCAGCATTTCAACAATAAGAGAGACCTTGCAGAATGTCTATAAAAGGCAATCATGGAGGATCTACCCATTCATACTCCATGTCCTCCTCTTCTCTGCACAAAAGACAGGCCACAGCCAGCGCTGGCTGAAAAGCTGACTGAGGAACATATTTGGGCTGACTGAACAAGAAAGGACAGGCACACCTGAGGTACTAAACCTGGTAGATCAGCACAAAATAAATAAAGGCACAGCTTTTAGTTTCTGTCAATTTTTTTTTTGTAAATTCTTTATTTAACATTTTGCAATACAGAATACAAAAAGAAAAAAACAAAAAAACAAAGCACAAAAAATACAGCAGTTCAAAAGAAATGTCATGGAAACAGAAAGAGGCATTAGTCGGATGTGTATAACCGAGCACTTGTGGAGACAAGCACTACATTGTTCTACAATGCACAAACAACAACTTAAAAATAAAATATAATAAGGCAAGGACTCACTAGGTCTCCAGAATTTAAAACAAAAGCAAAGGGGAAGGAATGCATGGAGACAGTAAAGAGAAGCAGAAGAGAGGAAGTAGAGAAAAAGGCAGTAGGACTGGGAGAGGATAAAAGAGGAGGGAGAAAGAAAAAAAATAAATGGGGTGGGAAGAAGAAGGGGAGGGTAAGGGGAAACCCAGCGTGTTTGGATCAAGGAGAGGGCAAACCATTCAGACTAAACCAGAAGCATCCACCCTGTAGCCCGTCACAGGCCCTGAGAGACCCCTCCGGGCAAGCAGGCAAAATATTCCTCCGTAAAAGTAAACTTGCGCCAATAAAACCATTTTTTATTGAATTGTTCCTGCTTGTTGTATCAAGCCAAAGTAAGATCTTCCATGTCCTTGATCTCGCTCATCTTGGTGAGCCACAAAGCAACCGTAGGAGCACACTTCTGCTTCCACAAAAGTGGAACACACATTTCAGCTGCATTTAATAAATTATTAAGCAAAGTCTTTTTGTAACGGCGTTTGGAAAGGTTTTGAAGGTGAAGCAGATATGAGGCGGGATTGTCACCCAGGTCACCTGTTAATTTAAGAATCAAGTCGTGTACCGCGGTCCAGAAAGGGCGAAGGTCAGGACTTTCCCAAAAAATATACAAAAACATCCCTTCAGAAGATCCGCAACACCAGCATGGTGGTGAGGAGTGAGGGAACATTCTATGCATTTTCCGAGGGACAAGATACCACCTAGAGAGGAGTTTGCAATCTGCCCCTTGGAATCTATACGCCACAGAGGCCTTGTGGGCAAAGTAAAGAATTAAATCCTTTTGTTCGGCTGAGAACGAACAGCCAAGGTCTTTCTCCCGCTGAGAGACAAAACGAGGAGTAAAATCCTCAGGTGGTCGTATAAGTAAAGAGTATCATTGAGACAAAGAGTGCCGAAGTGGGCCTTGTTCAGAACAAAGCTTATCATACTGAGAAGACATCGAGGTCAGCGATCTCTCCTTCAGCACGACCCTGAGGTAATGACGCAGTTGGAAAACATTCCAGAGAGGAAGGGGAGGCGAGGTCTAGTTTTGTAAGTCACCGACCTGTTTAGGGACAGCAAGAAGTGATGAAGGCGAAAACAACACAGGCTAACCAACTGAGAAAGTTTAGACTTCTAGAGTTATGTCTATTTTTTTATGTCATAATTACATAGTTTGTAAGGCAGGAAAAGCACAGGTCCATCTGGGGGTGGGGGGGGGGGGGGGGGGGGGGGGAGGGTGTGTGTGTGTGTGTCATTATGAACATCCGTTCCCCTGTATATTTTGTGAACTGAGAAACTCTTTTAAAAGTTTTTTTTTAAATAATCTACATTCTCAGCTGATACCACAAAAGGGAGTTCCATGTTTTACTGCTCTGACAGACCTTACGGAGTTTAAGATTAAACCGCTTTTTATTTAGCTTTGAGTTGTGGCCGAGTGTCTTCTTCAGAGTCCTTAGCGTAAAGAGTAATTCCACTTTTGTTTAGAATAAATCAATCTTTGGGTGATCAATGTACATTGCAATGATTTCAACAAACGTTGATGCAGATTCCTAACGGTAGCAGTTTGTTGCAGCATGTCCTTTGATAACTGATTCCTGAATGGGATGGTCTGGGTTCATTATAACCAGCTGGTGGACTTTCTGTGTTCTAATGAGGAATGGTGCAGTGTTTGCATTACTTCAGAAGTAATGAACTCTTATGGTGCCCATACACATGCCGATTATCGTACGATAATCGCGGGAAATCCCACGATCGTACGATAATCGGCAGGTGTATGGAAGGCGTGCGACCGTTTTTACTGTACGGTGCACGTCTTTTGTCTTACTAGCAGGCTCGAAAACCCGCCGAGAATCGTACGATTGTCGGCGGGTTTGTGGCCTGCTCGTAAGACAAATGCCGCATGGGCCGATGTGCGCAAGCGCACACTGCCCGTTGAGCATTGCAGTCATCGGAAGCCCGCCCCTCAGTGGGGGGGGCTTTCGATGATCGCAAGTAAGATCTGCCTGTCCAAGATGGCCATATCGCACGTTTTTTCATTACCTTACAACCATTGCAAGAATTGTATGTTTATTATTTATGTTATTGTGATGACAAGTCTTGCGATGGGTGTAAGGCGTATGGCCAGATTTAGGAAATGTTCCACATAAAGTAAAATTCCTATTCCTTTAAAAAAGCGTAAAATTTTACTTTTACTTGTAGTGCAGAAATCTGTCGAAATCAGCCAATCACAGAAACAGGAAGTGTTATTTTTGGGGGGCATTCTATACAGCAGCTGCGTCAGAACTCCTCCAGGTTGCCAGTGCAATGCAGTGGATTGCGACCCACCACATAGCAATGAAATAAAAGTACTTCTTGGCTTTTGAGGACTGGTGAGGCAGAGATTTCCATCACTGACTTTCTAAGGAAAAAAAACAAAACAGCTGTCAGACAAGGGTTGTTTTTTAAATCTTGCCAACTACTATTATTCTAACCCTGGGGTCTGCTTGAGCCCCATACACACACTCCCCCCAAATGAATAGACTGTTATCTCATGCCTATAGGCACCCTCAATGTTACTATCATTCTATTTTATTGTGCAACTGAGACAATGTGCACAACCATTTCCAAGAACAGATCTCTATTTCCTTGGAGAGCAGGCACAGCTTGCAATTATGCACTGAACATGAATACAGCGGCCCCAGCAGACCACCCATGACCCAACAATAGGGCAGGTGGCGCTGTGAGTGTGTTGTATACACAGCGCTGGTCGCCATGGCAACGTTTCCTGGCGGATGAGGAGTTCCCCTTCTTCGTCAGCAAGTGACGGCCGGCGCTCAGTGATGACGTAGGAGTGTTGATTGACGGCTGGATGGAAGCTCGGTGGCTTTAGACATGTCTGCCCTGGAGATGGAGGGGAGCGAGGAGGCGCAGACCCCCAGCGGGGAGCCCTTGTGTCTTCCATGGGATCGGTTCGCCTCCTGGCTGCATTGTATCTGTGTGGTGGGATTCGATCTGGAATTGGGCCAGACAGTGGAGGTAAGAAAGTGGAGTGAGGGGGCTCTGCAACTTCTTCTGTCACTTTAATTATTATTGGACCTGTCCTGTATGATCAGCCCTGGACTAATGGCTCTGCTGAGTTCATTCTGTGTACACTGTGCTCTTCTTCCTTGTAGCTCCCAAATGTCCCTTTTATTACAAGTACCTCCCCTGCAATGGTCCCTCTTTCTGGGTCAGTACATAGACCTCTATTAAAGCCCATCTGGGCAAAACAAAAAACAACCCTTGCAGAGGGTATACGCCCGCACTTTCAGGGTTGAGTGCTCCCTTATGCTTAGGGGCTGGAGTAAAGCAGATTTACTTATCTGATCCCCACTCCGCCGGCGGTCCGCACTCTCATCTTTTGCCCTGGTGGGTGGACTGTCCCTTGGCGTCCTCACATCTAATGCAGGTCTATAGAAACCTGCATTAGATGTGATGATGTCAGCGGTCTTTAGACCTCCAAAGTAAAGGGGAGAAGAGGCTGCGGGGACCTGACTGGCAGCCTGACGGGAGCAGGGATCAGGTAAGTAAAAAGGCTTTATTCCAGTCCACTAGACAAAAACATGCACTTAACCCAGTGGTGGGAAACGCCAGCACTCCAGCTGTTGTAGAACTACAAGTCCCATGAGGCATTGCAAGACTGACAGTTACAAGCATGACTCCCAGAGGCATGGCATGTTGGGATTTGTAGGTAAAGCAGAGCTGGAGGGCCGGAGTTGACCACTCCTGACTTAACCCTTGTATTGCAGGGTTAGTCCCACTGCAAGGGTACTGTTTTTGTTTTTCCTGGAAGTGGTATTTAAAAGATTTTTGTTTTTGATGGAGTAGAGGAATATGTAAAGGCATAGTCCACCTTTTCATAAAAATTTAATAAATGCATCCACATTGATAAAAGCAAAAATGTGCATGTAATAATATCTTGTATCTATTCCTGCATTGCACCTAGGATTAGAGGAGTGTGGGTGCAATGCACATGCTCCTGCAGACTATTCCTCCAAACCCAAATATGTATGCAAGCACAAATAAAATGTGTGCCTCTTCTACCCTGATGGTGCATCCTTTGTTTAGGGGTGCATTAGTACACGGAAGGGTTACCGTTTATTTCCAAATAGAAAAGCAATGAATTCGGCACTCATTTCTAAGTTCTAATAACTTATACACAGACAGCACCTTACCAAGGACAGGATCTGCTTGTGCAAGTCAGCCATGAGTGGCCTTAATCATAGGTGAAGATCAAGGCTGCTCGCGCCTGAATCGTGTAAGCAAACTGTGTCCCTTGTTACTGCTTCCTGTGTATAATGAATCATTGGAACTTGGAATTGAGTGCTGGATAAGCTGCTTTTGTACCAAGGTATGGACCTGCTGTAATGTGGCTGGAAGAAGTAATCAGAGGACTACAAGTGCAGTGATGTCACTGTAGTTGTGCTCCATTGAGGTCTATGAATCCCTCTGCTGCGATGGCTGATGAGACTTGAAGTCTTACCTTTCACAAAACCCTGTGTATGGATCTGTGAATTAATGATTAGGCTGTACAGGTGGAGCCATGCAAATTAAAAAATGCACCGGACGCTTTAGGGAGAAGAACCCTGCTATTCAGGTAAGTGGTGGGGGCAGTTTGAGGGTGGGGGGTTGGGGATAGTGACCATGTTACATCCTAAATATGGATGTAACATGAAACAGGATCACAAAAATGGAGCAACCCCAAAACAAAAATGTAATATATTGCAGTTTACCAGTCCGTATGCATGGTGGCTGCATTCATTTTAATTTTTCCAGGCTTTTTCCCTTTTCGCCTGCGGCTCCTGCAAATAGCACACTTCCTGTCCCCTAATGACAGAGATGTGAATCATTCCCTGCTCTGTCCAAAACTATATAAAAAGGTTTGGCTTTACATACATGTTAAAATAATAGTCGCCTGTAGTAACCTTCTAGTGTAGGTGTGCGGTAATCTAATTGGCTGTTGCTGGCAAGTTCATTTTCATAACTCAGTTGATATGGAACTCTTTAGTGCATGTGTTCTAAATAGTTGTATGGAGGGCATCGTGCACTGAACAGATCTGTACAGCACTTTGTATTCACATGATCTGCTCATCCTGGAACAGGAGCGTTTATCAGTAAATGGATGAAAAGAATTCCATGTTACATTCTGAACATAACAAGTGTCGGCCTTGTGACATAACTGCTAATCATTGCACAGTGTGTACCCAGAACAGGCCAAGTATTGTTGGTTTTCTTTTGGTTTTGGTCTGATGAACTAATTGAATTGCCATGGGTAATGCATAATTCACCCTGGGGGGTGGGGGGGTTAGGAGCACAGTGTATTCAAAGAGTAAAACAGCATTGGAAATATATCTTTCTACACATTGTCAGGCTTGTTAAAGTGGCGCTCCAGCCAAAAATGATTTTTCTTTCTTTTGGGTAGAGCTAAAGAGTTATCGCTACTATCAGGATTTTTCTTTGCTGTTATTGTTCCAGTTAGAGAGATTTTCCTTAATTTCCCATATCGGTGACACACCTGAACATGGATCGTAATACAAACCTGGCAGAGGCTCTAACTTCCCCCGCTTTATTATAGATTTATTTTTCTTTTTACAGCTGTGGATGTTGGGAGAGATGTAGGTTGCTGTTGTGTCATTGGGACAGGAAGTGCAGATAATTCTCTTCAGCATTTACACGGGGCTTAATGCTGTGGCTGGGGAATCCTGCAGGAGGAATCCCAGGTGTCCATAAAGGTGTGGCCGCTGTGACTATTCATGGTAATGACAGGGTGACAGCGGCTGCATCTGTCGGTGGCAGTCCATATGTAATAGTACATGGTACGATTCCCTACGGTTTGGGATAGATGATTGTCTGAGTCATCTATCTAGGGTGGATGCATCCAGGGACAATCATCTATCCCGAACTGCAGGTAATCATACCATATACTATTACATATGGACTGGCAGATGCAGCCGCTGTCACCCTGTCATCAACTTGGCTGCATCTGAATTGGATTCCTATGGTAAACACTTACGGATTCTTGCCACAGGAATCCCAGCCACAGCGTCAAACTCAGTGTGAATGGGGCCTTAAAAGAGAACAATGGGGTCAGTGTTTTTCCCCATAGTTCTCTTAAGGGTCACGGGAGGACATATACTAACCTCCTCCCATGACCCAAAGCTCAGTATATAGCGGGCTACAGCTCGCGGTATACTGAGACCGCCCCAGCCAGGGTGGATCCCGACAATACTGTCGAGATCCACCCAGCTGCTTGAATGACAGCTGGCTCTGCCTATCCAGAGGCAGAGCCAGCTGTGCCCGCTCCTCCACCATCCGTTCTTCCGGTCAGCGCTGGAGGATCGGAGAGGGAAGGGGGGTAATCCCTCCGGGGAACGGTGACTGACAGTGACCGCTCTCTGCAGCGAGATGATCGAGAGGTGAGCGAGCAGCGGTATGTGTTCGCTCACTTCCCCATATATTGAGCCAACATGTGACACTTTCACAGGTCGGCTCGAACTATGAGGATAAGGGATTTTCACTCACCTCATAGTTCTCCTTTAAGATCTGGTGGGGGTTCTAGCTATTTCCTTTACACTTTCAGGACAAAAAATAGATGGAGTGCTTCCTAAAATCAAAGTGCACCTATGCTCTTTGCCCCTTCTGCTCACCTAACCTAAACCCACCCTCCTCCCTCAAAAACAGAAACTTGCTTACCTAAAACCAATGGCTGTGGCCTGCGGTGTTTGTTTACATCCAACACTGCAAGTCTTTACTTTGCTGACCGCACATGTGCATTACAGCCCCATAGACTTCTATAGGGCAGACTCTCTTCATCTCCAGCCTCAGGGCACACCCCTTTTATAAGTCTATAGGACTGTAATATGTAGAGGGCGGCCAGGACAGAAAAACTTGCAGCTCTGGATGTAAACAAACGCCAGAGGCTGCGGCCCTTGGCTTAGGGTAAGTAAGCATCTGTGGAGCAGAAGGGTGAATAGGTTTAAGTCAGGTAAATGGGGGCAAATGAGTACGCTTTGTTTTGAAGTGCACGTATACTTTAAATAACAATGTGCACGCCTATGTCTTCTATTCTGTTTTATTCTAAATCGAGGTAAAATCTGGATGTATTGCATTTCTGCAGATTATACCCCGGTATGTCTTTCTTGTTGAAGGTGAAAGTCTATAATAAGTAATGCGTAATTTGGAAGTTGCGGTTTATCAGCAGATAACACAATCTACTTTTGTAATCAAATATTTAGATGATATCTGAGATCGCACAAGGAGAATGTTACACTTTGTTCAAATCTCACAGCCTAATGGCTTCAGGTTAATGGTAAAGCCATTCTGGATGTGATTAAGGTCAGCAGATTGTATAGGTCTCTGTTGTAGTCATTTTAAAGAAAACTCTGCTCCAGTTAAAAAGGATGTATGGTGACCAATGAACGGGTAGTAAGGGCTCATGTTGATGGGTGTTGCCTTCATGCGTTTTGATGTACATTTGAAATGTAAAGCATGTCTTATTAAAATGCATTTACATTTCAGACAAAGCAGGTCAAATGCAGCTTTTTCATGCTCGACGTTGCATTTTTCATTTGAAAGAAGCTGCGTTGCTCGGATGGAAAAAGGACGACGTGAACCAAAAATGTAACCAAATAACTCACATTGAGCTCATGCACATGACTGGAAATGGGCGTACAACGTGCATAATGGGCATTTTTCTCCGGCAGTCACAGTTTTGCCGCACGACCAGCTTGTAGAAATCATTAACAGGCTGGCTGAAGCTGCGTCTGTACAGATATATGCACAAATCCCATTTTTTTTTTCATGCGTACCTGGACTAAAGCCAGGTATACATGGTTCTAATTTCTGCTGGTTCCTGATGAACTGGCTTAAATTCGTGCCATGGGTGATGCTGTGGGCGCCCTTCTGCCAGGCATCCCTCAATCAACTGATCGAAGGAGCAAGTTGAAAATTCTCAACCAAACAGAGTGGCAATCAGCTGCTAGCTCCATTCCCGTATT